AACCCTCTTCTGATTTCGTCCGCGTGCAGCCGTATCTTTTATCGGAGTACTTTCATTCGAACGGCTATTTCTTTGCCCTGAACGTGTCCCCTGCCAGAGTCATCAAGCAGGATAAGGGCCCCATTTCTGTCCTCACTGCCTCGCAATTTGGCGCATTTATATTTGGCCAACAATATGTATTCAAGACAATTTTCGAGACGATGAACTGGTCGTAAACACGAGCACCCTCGGGCCGATGTTGGAAAAAGTTCTTCATGAGGTTTTCTTGTTGGTCATTTGGGTTGGCCTTGGAACCTGACCTTGCTCAGCTTTAGGGCTCTACCAATCAGCGCTGTACTAGTACCGTATGAAATCTAGAAATCAAAGAAAGCCACGTGAAATGCTTCAGATTACTCTCACCATTGCTCTAAGTATAACAACACATTAACTTTGTGTATTTCAGCTTGGCCAACACTTACTTGACGTGTTTCGAAGACCAATTCAAGGAGGCCTGTGGTCTAAACTCCCGCGACACGCAATTCTGGGGTTGCGAATACGCGCGCGTCAATGTTTTCACTCGTTTCCCTCAGACTGATGTGGACTGTGTCTGTAAGTTTCATCCTCTCGGTATTAGATCTCTACTTTAAATGGCTCTACCAAGATAGATCCCTTTTCAGTACCCTACGCAGGCGGCATGATCGGATGAGAGCAGAGCTAAGACTATTGCAAATGTTACTGTGTCAAGATATTGTGATAAGATTTGAAATATTCATTCGAGAATTCTAATAAAAGTGTGCATACTTTACATTTGTTGGTTATTTACCTTAATCTTGAGATTTTTTGGTGAAAATGTAGTTCCTCCCTTCAAATTACCAGAAATTGTGCAATTGCAGAAATTGACGTGGCATTAACGTGGCATCGATTCAAGAACATCTTTGAGCACACGTGATGTCACCTTTTCATCGAGAATTTAGCCACGTGTGCCAATGCCACGTCAATTTCTGCAATTGCACAATTTCTGGTCATTTGAAGGCGAGGGAGTATGTGAGGCACCCGACTAATCGAGGCGGAGTTGCGGTACCCTTTGCCAATATCATTCTATGGTAAAATGGCCTGCTACCTCTGCTTGCTGTTTCACTTTCCGCCTCTTTTGCGACTGCATTGCGAGCCAATCGAAAGGGAGGATTTTGTATGGAATCCCGAGTTGATCCCTATCTAATCATACATTCGGAGACTGTGTCTGGATGGTGATTAGATATGACCGCGCTTCCGCAGCTCCACTTCGATTAGATATTGTCAGTTCGATTAGATATTATGAGTGGCCCCCTCAAACTACATTTTCACCGATTTTTTTCTGTTTTCAATATACAAGTCTTACTCAGCAACACTCAAGAGTGATAAGGCAAACAGGCACAGGCGGTTTGGCGTGGGTGAACATTTTCAGTAATCGTTTTTGAAGTGGGCCTTTGATCTTTGTTTGCTACCACCATAACGCTTTCACGCTCACGAGGGGCGAGTGAAGAACATTCACAATCACGTCCTCGATTTGGCTTATTTGACCTCTCATGCTGTCGCAGGCAGATACCGTAGGATCATTTATCACGGAGTAGACGAAACATTTGTAACTAGCAGAAGAAGATGATTTCTCTCTAACAGAAGTCACGCGAAGGACAGGGTGCTGATGTGTTGGCATACTAGACCACAGAACCGCAGCTTGCTTTCAGAGGAGGGTGTTAATCTACTCAAGTAACAGTAGAACTTGCGCCCTCTACTTGAAATTCCAAATCTGGTCGAAACTTTATTGTTATTCTGTTCAAAGCTTGAAAGGCGTTGCAGCCGTCAAGCATGCCCTTAATGGATCACGATTGGTATGTTTCTTGCACGGAGCGAATGTATTGTGCGAACTGGCTATGAGAAATGAAAAGAGGAAAAAAAGCTGTCGAAATATCTTTAGGTCAAGGCTTGCGGCCGTTCAACAAACTGTCTGGCTGTCATCTTAGGCAATGAAAGACCTCAGACAGAAGGGGAGAGAACGCGACGAGAAGCGCAAACAGATGTGAAGGCGCCCAGACAATAATCATGATATTAATAAAGAAAAAACTGCAGCTGCTGCCAGGCTCACTGTTGCAAAGGCCCGTGTGAGCGGTCCTCTTCGTCCTGTGAGGTAGTGCCCCAGCAGACAATCACGAACGTAACAGTCCCGTGCAACGAAAGCGCCCGAAAAAGGCGCTAGGGTCTTCTAAGCCAAGCTGCACGAGATGCACGGGCCGACTTGTCCGCAGCTGTGGGGTTCGCCGCAGCTGCGAGGCGAGTGTGCATGAAATGAGGGCCGCCCACATTGTTGCTTGTAGGGTCGTTGGGCGTTATTCCGATCAGATGATTCAGCAGTGCGCACAACCGCTGCGCAAAATCCTTTTTGTTGTTTTTTTCTTTAAATCAGCATTATGACCGAATTTCTTCTAAGTGTATAATCCACCTATTATTGTTATTTGTCGTCTGATATCATTTTTGCAAACTTGCATTTTCAAATTCTTTCTGTCTGGTCTATCTAGCAAAGTTTTTAATATCAAGTTCGGAAAACTCGTCCGGTTGCACCTCCCCTTGAAGGCTAGGCGAGATGTTACTGGAAGAGTGGAGGTTCCTGTTTAGGCTTCATCGCGGGTTTTTTTTTTCGCTGTTTCTTCCATTTCCATTCAACAATGCACACTCACATCCGTTATCGATCGCTCTTACCTCGCAAATCCGTGCCTGAGTTGTGCCTTTAAGGTCAAAAATGCCCGTCGCAAAGTCCTCGTCCTCGCGTCCCCCTCGTCGTCATCAGCGTGGCTGATATCTCCAAGAGGATGGGAAGGAAAAAGAAAAAAGGAAGCGATAAAAAGGGCAAGGTGATAGAGTCCTTTGAGAGTAGCCACACATTCGACTTCTACTTAGAATCGTAGTATCAGATTGAACTGTTGTATCTAGCCTACACATTTCCTGTGCTTAATAATAGTCAAATCTAGCAATTGTTTTTGTACTGTACGCCACAACGAGGTTTTTAAGATGGAATCTTTATTTACTGGCCTTACGTTTCGACCGCTTCGTCTTCTTCAGAGGCCTGGAGATTGTCCAAGATTCCACCGATGCGGAGCAGTAGCTCACGCCCTGTGTTAGTTGACGTCAATGAAGCAAATCTAGTGATTTGGAATCTTGACAATCTCCAGGCCTCTGAAGAAGACGAAGCGGTCGAAACGTAAGGCCAGTAAATAAAGATTCCATCTTAAAAACCTCGTTGTGGCGTACAGTACAAAAACAATTGCAGTACACTCAACATCAAATGCCGAGGTTTCAACAAAGGACGACATGGAGACTACTAGAGTTTGTCATACTGAAAATTGATCCTGCCTAATTGTTCCAATTGTAATCCGCTCCAAATAGGTTATATCAATTTTTATAACAAATTGATGCTCACAGAATATGTGTACACGGTATAGATAATTATAAGTGTGGATTTCACTTATGACGGTTATTTTTCAGCACCTCAATGACAGGCTTTGGACATAAATACAGTATGGAATGAACTATTCGATCTACAGATTGAGATTAGAAGTGGCATGACGAAAGTTCACTGGCGCTATTGTAGGCAATTGTGGTGGATGAGGGTCGAAACCCATGTGAAATGTACGTGTATCGATCGAGTTCGTTGGTGGCCTCATCTCACAGATTGAACCCTTCGGTTTCTGGTCATCGTGGTGGAATTCACTTGAGGTGTACGCCAAGTAGACTGATGTCCCCTTCGATTGACAGCTTATTGATTTGGTTGCTTGGAGTGCGATGATCGAACGTCGCAAACAGGCAGTCGTTGACCAGCATCTGAATCAAAGAAATGATAATCAAGAGTATGTTGACGTCAAAGTAATTGAAAGGTGGTCGTAGTTCAACAACGGAAGGGTCCGGGACAAAAACTGGGGGGAGCCACGCACACGACTTTTGTTCAGAATCATAGAGGCAGTTGAATGCGTTTCCGCCTTACAAGGTGACCTACGGGGAGCAGCTGATGTCCGAAGAAAGAGCCCGTATCTACCTGGTCAGGTGGAACACTGGAGTAGCAACCAGAATCAACCTCGGCGTTGGGTACATGTCAGGGTCACAATGGCCCTCGCCGAAGGAGGTCTCCTCCGCGCAAGTCCCCTCCCGGAACCCTTTCCTGCTCTAGCTGAACCTACAGACACACCTCCATCTTCCAGAATTCCTTCACGAGGTAGGGAGAAGGAAGAGGTCAAAAATGGCCGAAAACGAGGAGGTTGTTTGCAGAACTTGTGAAGATTTTCCCAGCCTCGACTATTCCCTACAAAACCCTACACTCCCATTCAAAAAGCGAGAAAGTGTCGGGTGCAGACCGTGCACCACAAGTGACGACGGCCTCCACAAAATGCAAATGTTTTCTGCCAATGAAATGATTAGCCTGTTGCAGTTGTATTCTATCAGTTGTCAGTAATTACAACTATCATTTACCAAAAATCAGCTATCACTATGAACCACTACTAACCAGATTTACTTTGAGGCCGTCGTCACTTGTGGTGTATGGTCTGCACCGGACGCTTTTCTCGTTTTTGAAAGGAGGAGGATACCTGCATGGCCCATTTCTTAGAAACCCGTCTCACAAAATTAGAGGAATGACCCTTGTGTTGAACATTGTCTAATGGAAGGATGACCGTGGTGGTAACTGACCCCTGTGAACACCAAGTCCGTAAAGAGAGGTATGTTGGCTGGGTTTCGCGATGGCGATACACTCTTTCTTCCTAAACAAAAGGGTTATTGCAACGTCCGCAAACAACGTTGGTACCCTCCAATAGACCCTTCTGCATTGCAGTCATAAACTGCTCGGTTTACGTTATCTTAACGGCAAACTGCGAAACCTGAGTGAACGAAATTGAAAAAGCCCCCCCCCTCCAGGCCAACCGTCACGTTCGCACTTTTCCATAAATTTTGCGACCCCCTTCAGGTTGGTATCGATACGACCCCCATAACCACCATTTTCTTGCAACTCACCCAACTTTGTCAGAAACTCGTCCAAACGCAACTCCTTCTTAACAACCTCCCTTCCCGCCGTTCCCACCATGATAGTCTTGCGACCCCTCTCCTTCCCGAAATCACAAAATGAACCCTTAGTTGAATAGTGCGAACGGACCGCTGACCCTGCCCCCCCCCGCCATGCACTAACAGATCCTTATTGACCGGTCGTCGAGGTGTTGTAAAAAGACTATCAACTCGTAGTACCCGCTCAGAATGATGTGCCTTGAGATGAATTTTAAATTCTTGAAAATTAAACTGTCGATCGATGAAAGTGTGGAAGTAATAACAGAACCTCGAATTTGCTTTCGCTACAGTAAATAAGCAGATCGAAGGTTTGTTTTCTCTTGAACGGGAATGCCTGATCGGCACCGATTCGTTCCTCTGGTCCCCATCGATCGTTCAGCCGAGACGTACGAAGCACTTTCTGCAATTACAACTGGTAGCGACAGCTTTTTCGATGTCACACTGTTCCCAGAAACCAGTCGTGAAGCTGTTTCAGTTTCACGGGAAAAACGCTCACCTTTGTGGGGAAGACAGCTTTGACTCGACACGCCAATTCAGCGTTAGCATGGAAATCAATCAGAAACTGTTTAGCACCTTTTGGTACCAAGCCGGACACAAACAGTCGACGTCCTGGATAGAAATTGCCTGGGATGTCAGCCGCATACGGTACACTCTGAAGCATCGACTTCTGTAATTCGTCATCGTAGGAAAAACACTGCGGTCACAGTTTGACACCTTTGTTTGCTTCAAAATTCCCCTTTATTACAGCTGGCAAATTTCTTCTCAGTGTCTACACTACATATGGGTTTCTTGAAGAAATCTATGCGTTCCAACCTATTAGGATTGAAATTGCTAGTAAGGCAAGAAATAAATTGCTTGGCGTACAATTGCGTTCTGAATGACCAAACTCAACAATTCTCGAAATGAGAAACTCATTTGACTTTTTCAGAGTAGCGGTTTCAAAATGAGTACAGGGCTACTACTGTAGATTTTGTTGGGCACTTTTAATGGGAATCTGAGTTTCTTTTCTTTCAGACACGTTTAGTGCCAAACAACCCCGTGAAATAACATGGTTAGCCTGATGAAATCAACTCTGAGGTTTGATTTCTCTGGATGTTGAAATTTCTCCCCCTACATTTACCTTCAAGCATTCAAAACCCCGGATTACACCTGCGCAATCGCAAAATCGTCATGCATCGAGAGAGCTATGCGCGAACGCACTCGTCTCATTCCGCGCTAGGCCTTCACTTCTGTCAACCAAAAGGACATGACAAGCACCATTGAAGCAACACCCCCCAGCAGAACTCGTGAGCCGAAGAATTTATTCGGTGGATAGAGTAGACCCCGAGTACACAGGTGCGCTATTGTTGCGGCTCGAAGTGCGCAGCAATGGTGCCACAACCTCCCAAAGACAGCATTTGGCGAAAAGTCCTGGCCTTTGACGAGTTTCGTCGCGCACACGTCCCATGACATGCAAGCGGGACACACATAAAATAGTGGCTAATTTCAATACGCGCGGGTTAGTTGGACCGTAGAGCAGGCAGATTCGTACAACTCGTCTTGCCCCGCCCCTTCCCTATTTCAAGGGGCATCCTTGTAGAGGGCTTCATCAACGGTTTTCTTCTTTGCTTCTTTTTTCATTTTTAGCCAACTAGGCATCCACAGCTCTATTATCGACCGCTGTGACTACAAATATTTGATCCGGGTTGATGCTTTATAGTGAACTGAGTATTCCTTTGTCTAACAAATTGGTACGTTGAACACCCATGAAATGGCCAAATTGATCTCGGTGAAATACGCGACGGCTTTTAAATCATTGTAATGGCACTGCGTAGTCGGCGAATACGGGTAGTGGGCGTTGACTGAGAGTTCGCGACCGCACGCAACCCATTTCACAGTATGCAATTGTGCATTCATGTTCTCTTCAACGATAACGACATACTACAATGCGGCATACAGTAATACTAAAGGGAAAGAGCGACCGAATGCCAGTAAACGTTGGCAGTCTATTCGTCACGCATCCCACATTAACTTGGCGCATTCCAAATCTCTCGGGAAAAGTTTGGCATCCGGATCGGAACTTAAAGTATAGCTAGGATTGAAGGGCAGAACGAGAGATTCACGAGACAATCATGTTTCGCTTATGTTTCCCTATTGCACACCCGAGTGAAGAATAGAATGCGTGGCAACATCCCAGTAGAGCAGCCTGTTCTTCACCTATCGTTGGCACCTTTCTTAGCGATTTCGGTGGTTTCAGCTATAGCATATTGCAGAGATACGCTCAATGTTCACCACGTAAGCAGAAGGCGGAAGGGAGGAATGGAAAATCTTACGTAAGAACTTTCCCTCCCACGAGACTCCGTAGAGCAGCACGTCACCGTTTACGTACACATGTGAGATGTTGTTCATCGGGACATAATGGGCGAATTTTGCCACCAGACGGTGTTCGACGTAAATCTGAACGAATGACTAGTTCTGTTGCTCTTCTAGTCACAGTGGAAAGAACTCACATGGAACTGATCCTCGAAGCATCTTATCCTCAGGTCGAACTCGTCGTTCACTTTGTAATGTTGCTTGATAGCTCCCTCTCTGAAAAGTCGTTGTACTGTAAATATTTAGAAGTTGATACTACAAAAAGTCTTCTTATTTATTTTGTTATGCCACTTAAACAGATGTGCTGAGAACGTAATCTCAAGTGAGGTAAATTGAAGTTTTATTTTACGAGTAGAAGGCCAGGGGACTGATTCCTTCGCATCACCGCTGCGACAGCTGCCACGCTTGTCAAGCATACGTGGCGTTTGCGCTCTCTCATGTCTGAGTGCTATCTCGCGTCTTCCTCTCTTCCTGCAGCGCTGTGTCTCTCCATCATACCACCCCCGACCACACGAGGGAAATTTAAGTGTGTTCTTAGGTGATTTTGCTTTTTCTCCACACTGTAGTCCCTCATCGCAGTTCTTGTTAATTTTCTAACAAAACAGCACGCGAAATCGATGCCACCCTCCGAAACATCTTCCGAGGAAGAACAAGGGTGGTAGTACGGTTGCTCAAAGAAGGGGAGAAGCACTACCACCACTTCCTCCTCTCGCAATTTAATGAATTTTCAAGCAAATGTTCTAGTTCGGCCATATCGTAGATTAAAGACGATTTAACGATGGAAAAGCAACCCATTCCAAATTGAGGTAGAGATGGTGAGTAGTACCAGAAAGAAAGCGAAACCACGAAAAACGGCCCAGAACCGGAGAAATGGGACCCCTTCCTTGTCCGTTGATTTGAGCATTGATGGGACTCTCATCGCTTTGCCCTCTTCAACCCTACGCTCTCTCAGCTATCTAATCACTCGCCACCTATTGTACTACGGCGAGTGATCAGACGATCGGTGGGCGGAGATCGCCGAACTCGCCAACTTTGAGCCATGCTAGATCTCAGAGGTCAAATTTTCGATGCCGATTGCGTGTCTGTCCGCACCCTCAAGAGATTCACCGCTCTCCCCACTAGGCGATTTCTCCCTTCTTCGACCTTCGTTCTTTCCGTGCAATCCTCCTTTAAGTTCTTCGTTTCTATAAATTGGATTCTGAAAAAACCACCAGGTCTAAAGGCCCCCTGCACTATTGAGTGGAGTGAAGCAAACATTCTAGTCAATCGACTCCTCTTCTTCATAGCATTCTCCGAAATCATGCTTTCTTAAACCAATGAGAAATGAGCAAATTAGCTCTCTGTTTTGGGCACACTCTCTTTGGCTTACAGCAGTCTCGACTGCCGGTTGTAAGTTGATAAATGTGAAGGAGCTAGACGTCAAAACCAAGCTGTGGAAGGAGCCTAAGGTGTTGTTTTTGTAACTTGTTGTCAACTCTTGTTGATTTATCCTTGTCCAATGCGCTAAGACAAACAGCGGGTCAAATGAGGATGAATAAAAAATGACAACAAGATTCAAAAACAATCCCTCCGATGCAGATTCAGACAAACAATATTCTCAAAACGCGGATCATATGGGTTCATGGTCCAAGGTGGGAACAATGACCATGCTCATCCAACCCAAGAAACAATCTTCAAACAAGCTTCAAATGATTCACTAGAACTTGGAATGCTGCTGCTTCGAGTAAGCCTCTTGGTTCGACGGGTGCCGCCCCCAGAGCCTGTCGCGCGTCAAAGTACGAGCGCAAGCAACACACGTCCGCTCCTTGGCGCCCGCTTAAGCAGAGTAACATAGCTCTCATCGCACATCGCGCCTGAAGTTATACGATCCTTTGCTGCGTCTGCGTCTTCCTTTGCCGCGCGGCGGGCCTCTTGGGAGACACCCGGTTCGAAGGCGGGATGACACCCTCAGAAGGACCAGTTCCATCCAATTGCTGTTCTCGCTAAGAACTCCATTGTACCAAATATGCGCGTACAAGTGAATAAATAAGTACGACCGGACCTATAAGCAGCTTCACTCAAACATCCTACCAAGTGCCTGAGATGATGAAGGCCAACTCCAAAAAGAGCTCTGAAGGGATTATTAAAAATAGAGTCATTCGTGAAAAAAAGTCGTGGTGCTTCCATAACGTCAAATAATCACGGCATTTCATAATAGCAAACAATCTAGGCGTCATTTCTAAGAAGAGAAGAGCCATTTACTCATATAGGATTCCTTTGAAGCATGAATCATTGTTTTCTTTGAATAGGCTAGGTAGTTTTAAAGGGGCTACGAATAAGTATGTCACAAAATTGGCTATCTTGGGAAATGATAAGTGCCATTGTGTTCCATCACACTGAATGAATATGGAAATACGAAATATGATATAGGTAACTATAACTTGGCTTGATCAATCTTGTGATACTTTTCCTAGACATTCTTCAAAGTAACGCAGCTCGTCATCGACTTCTTATTACCCCTTCTTTATGTCTGGCCAATATCTCCATGCGAGTGCGCCGCGCCAGTTGACTCATTCGAAATCATATTAATGTGTTGATTGCATGAGCTACTCAGCTGGTGTACAGGCTCTGCCTGCCCAGCCGAAGTGTAAACTAATAATTACTGCGAAGGGAAGAGGGAGGGAATTCATGAGAGGGCAACCATTGGCTACGGCGGATCTTCACAATCTGACAGAGGACTCTTGTTTTTGGCCATGGGGGATCTTGTCCTCGGGTTTGATGTCCCTGGTTGGCGGAGCCAAGAATTTGGGAAAGCTCGGATTCGAACAAGGCAAAGTCACCCAAATATCCGCATCGCACGCAAATGGCAAGGTCGACCCAGAATTTATCACCACACGGTCCTATTCTTCTAAGATAAGATGGAGATGGAGCATTGCCCATCACAAGACCCCTGCAGAGCAGCCTCGCCATTAATCTTCCGACCGATTTTCGCCTATAACAACGAGAAGTTATAGTTTTTTCGAGCCTGATCGAAATCGCTGCCAAGGCAACCCGGCGCTCGTTACGCTTGAATGGCGTGCTCCTTATTTCACTAGTTAATCTTAAATACCAGTTTTTGGAATGACTGAGATAACCTGTCTACCAAATAGTGGATGCTGAAGAAGTGGAATGCCACTTGCTCTCATTGCAAATGTAAATCAGTCTTCGTATAACTTTTTTGAACAAGAATAAAGCCATGGCCAATAGGGTCCATCCACTGCGCTTGAATAGAAGCTAAAACGCCCCCTAAATTGTCGTTATTTCAAGAACTTCCTCCAAAAGAAAGAACGC